TATTTCCACTTTCTCCCTGCAACTCCCCGTGTGATAACGTCCTTAGAGATGGAGCAATGGATTCAAACTACAGGAAAAGAGATTCCAGCTCAATATTAGGAAGAGCTGTTGGACAGTAGAAGACGTTGCTGCCTTGGAGGGTGGTGGACTCTTCATCTTTGGAGGGCTTTAAACAGAGGCTGGATGGCCATCTGTCAGGAGTGCTTTGGTTGTATCTTCCTGAATGGCAGAAAAAGGGTTGGAGCCTTGGGATCTCTTCCAACTCTCGGATCCTATTATTCTAATTCACTTTGTGGAGTCCAAGCCCCAGTCATTCTGAGAGTTGTGGTTCCAAAATTAATGTTTCCAAGCTCAGAAATGTAGGAGCCTGCTGGTTTGGGGTGATTCATTTGAAATAGTCTTATCAATGATCTACCAGCAGAATTTTTTTCCCTTCTGTACCTTCCTGGGTATGGCTCAATTATACAATGATACCTTGGTATCCGCTAAGGTTTGGTTCCAGGATCCCCTGTGGATACCAAAATCCGTTGATGTTCAAGTCCCATTAAATACAATGACCACATAAAACGGTGTCCCTTATATAAAATGGCAAAATCAAGGTTTGCTTTTTGAAATTTATATTTTTAATAATATTTTCAAGCCATGGATGTTTGAATCAGTGGATAAGGAATCCGTGGATACAGTGGGTCGACTGTAGAATCATATGATCAAAAGTGACACTGGAGTTCATATAGTCTAATCCTGCCATCTCAAGGTAGGATCAGACAACATACAGCAGTACACAGAGTTTCCAGCTCAGAAACATACCAGGCTCTGTGATTTCTGGGCCAAAGTGATATCATGTGGACATGTTACAGAGGTGAGGAAGATTAGCTAAGTAAACATAGAGTCATGCCCTAGGATTTTCGCAAGTTGCAATAACTTGATGGAAATCAAGCTTTGCAAACTGAAGCAAGCTTCATGACCAGCTAGAAAAAGTGCAATAAAAAAAGGAAAATTATACATTGACCCTTGACTTGCAAAAACTCCGACTTGAAGCTTTGCATGCAACTGTTGCCTTTGCCCCCTGAATTAACTGCATGAAATGATAATTTGCACCCTTGCCTCCTATCTGGAAGTGATCTGTGAAATCTGGAAACTTGTACAGCAGCAAAAATCAGGAAGAAAGAAATGCTGCAAGATGGCAATAGGGAAGAACACACTAGGGAAAATTAATAATTCGTGGGATGGTTCATTATTTCTGTCAGTGTATCGTTCTGTGGTTAGACTAGGCTGAATCCACACAGACGAAATAACCCGATTTGAGACTACTTTAACTGCCATGGCTCAATGCTATGGAATCCTGGGATTTGTAGTTTGCTGTGGCACCAGAGCTCTCTGGAGTACTGTGGTTACCGTGGACTGCCAAAGGGACAAATTAATAGGCCCAAAGGACAGCTATGAAATGTAAAGATTGAGTATGAAAGTTAGCCATTACATTTGCCACCTCTGTGTATGGTTGTGAAAGATGGACAGTCAAGAAGGCTGATAGGAAAAGAATAAACTCATTTGAAATGTGACGCTGGGAAAGAGTTCTACGGATACCATGGACTGCTAAAAAGACCAATAAATGGGTCCTGGGGCAAATCAAGCTGGAACTCTCCCCAGAAACCAAGAGGACTAAACTACAACTGTTGTACTTTGGACATAGAGTGGGTCCTTGGCATCTGCTGGGGTTTGGTTCCAGGATGGGTACCAAAATCCATGGATGCTCAAGTCCCATTATATACAGTGGTGTAGTAATATGGTGCCCCTTATATAAAATGGCAAAAACAAAGTTTCATAGAATCCTAGAGTTGGAAGAGACCCCAAGGGCCATCCAGTCCAACCCCCTGCCATGCAGGAACTCACAATCAAAGCACCCCGACAGGTGGCAATTCAGACTCTGTTTAAAAACCTCCAAAGAAGGAGACTCCACCACTTTCCGAGGGAGTGTGTTCCACTGTCAAACACCTCTTACTGTCAGTTTGCTTTTGGAGTTTTAAAAATTTGATTACAAGCTTTTGAGATTTTTTTAAAAATTCATATTTTCAAGACATGGATGGTGGAATCTGTGGATGCAGAATCCGTGGATATGGAAAGCTAACTGAATCATGGAAAGGCATGACACCCAAAAAGCCAATAATACTTGATAAGTATTAGGAAAAAAGTAGGAAAAAAGTAGGAAAAGTAGGAGACAGTAGGAAAAAAGGAAGACTGCATTACAGATCAAGGGAAGTCATTGCTATGAGTTTGCAAGACCTGAGCAGAGCAATGGATGACTGGATGGCTCTTGGAGGTCTTTCTCATTTGTAGGATCACCATAAGTTGAAGTTGACTTGATGGCAATTAAAAAAAAAGATTAAAATGGGATCAGGTAGAAAGTCTGGGGCATGGGAATCTGGGAATCTGGCCCAAAAAGCCAATGGTAAAGAGAAAATTCTTACCTATAATTCCCTTCATCCCTATGAAGAAAAGCCAAAAATAAATAAATGTATATACAAAAGAGAGGCAGTGTGGCTTAGTGGTTTGAGCATTAGACTACAATGCCAGAGACCAGAGTTCAATTCCCATCTCAGCCAGGAAACCGACTGAGTGACTTCTCCCAGGTCACACTCTCTCAGCCTCAGGGAAAAGCAACAGCAAACCTCCTCTGAATAAATCTTGTCGAGAAAACCCTGCGATAGCGAGTCACCATAAGTCAGAAAAGACTTGAAGGCACACAACAACAACATTGGTATATATATATAGATCATGGCTTGAGAGTGCAGGATGCCTTTGCCTATCTGGAGGTCAAAACATTCAGATTTATTCCAAAATAAATCATCAGAGCCTCTGCCTCTCCTCTCTTGATACCGTTATGTGACAAATTCAAGGTTAGCAAACAAGGTGTAAGCTTTCAGCGTCTCCAGGATTCTTCATCAGCTCAAATGGTTTTTGAAAAATGGGGGAGAGGAAGAGATTTGGGTGCATAGCTGATGTTCATGGCATCGAGATTTGATGTAGTTACAGTGCAAAGATGAAAAGTGGGTAGGTGCTACAGATATTAAAATATTAAAAATGATGCTTTGCCAAGCATGTGCTAGGTGGTTTCAAGTTGCACCTTGGATTTTCCTATGGGATCAGTGGAGCAACAGGCAAAGAACAGTTGATCTTCCATTTTGGAAACATTCTCCTATATACCGTAAGCCTCCCCATGATTTGAAGCTGGAGTCTGGACAAAAAAAAAGTACCGTAGTTCTTCATGTCAGGATTAGGAGTCTGGCAGAGTTAGGAATATGAGTCAGAAAAAGAGTGAGAATGGGGTCTGACAAGGTTAGTATTAGGAGTTTGTTAGAAGTAGGAGTAAGAGATGTTAAGATAATAAGTCAGGGTCAGAGGTAGAGTAAGGCTCCATCCACACTGCAGAAATAATCCAGTTTGACACCACTTTAACTACCATGGCTCAATGCTGTGGAATTCTGAGGACTGTAGTAAGTTGTGGCACCAGAGCTCTCTGACAGAGAAGGTTAAATGGCTCACAAAACTACAAATCCCAGAACTCCATAGCATTGAGCCATAGCAGTTAAAGTGATGTTAAACTGGATTATTTCTGCCGTGTGGGTGCAGCCTGAGTTAGAATATGAGTGAGAGAGAGAGTGAAAGAGTTGAATTAGGGTAGGATTTAGACATATTAAATAAGTCATCTTTGATGTTATATTCAATTTCTGTTAAAATACTTTTTGTAGCATATGCTACCTCCATGGATGCATCTTGACACCATGTAATGGCCATGGCTCCATCATACAGCATCTTGGGATTTGTCGTTTTGTGAGGCACCAGCACTCTTTGGCAATGAGGGCTAAAAACCTTGTAAAACTACAAATCCCAGGATCCCATAGGATGGAGCTGCACACTTAAAGTGGTGTCAAGATGCATCCTTGGAGACAGCGTATACTACAAAAAGTGTTTTAACAGAAATCGAACATGGAGCTGGATGATGGGAACTCTTAAGTGTGATCCAGGGGGAAAACTTTTCAGTTCCGACACAAACCCTGGACAGAGGAACTTCTGTCTCAATTTCTGGAATAAAATCTTTTGTTTTAACCACACTAAGATGTTCTCTTGGTTGTTGGGAACTGAGTCGATGAGCCTGAGACACATGGTTTCTGTGGTGTTAGCAGTTATTGAAAGGTGGTGGGGTCCAGTGGGAAGATTAGATGAATAAAATCTCTTACGGGAACCATGAGAGCATCTAGAAGGTCCCCACATTTGAGGCCACAGCAAGTGGAGGTCCTCATATTGGTGGCCATATCGGCAGGATAGTTTGAAGCCACAAAGGCTATTCTTTTCTAACTTTCAGGTTGAGTCTACTTGCTTAAAGCAGGATCAAACTAATACAAACGTATAGTGCAGATGCTTTCTGTGTCTGCCCTGGGCGTCTTTCCATCAAGGAAGCAAGCAAGACAGATAAATTCAGAGACATAACAGTTTGGGATATCAGTATGCAAAGGGATCTCGCAGCACCTTTGAGACTAGCTGTGCGAAAGAAGTTGTGGCATGAGTCTACAAAAGCTCAGGCCACCATTTCTTTTTGCACAGTTTTAGTCTCAATGGTGCTGCAAGATCCCTTTGCGAGAGGGAGGAATGTCCCCAGTTTGACGCAGCTGTACTTCTTGCTACTTGCAGGTTGAA